CTTCAGCGGTTCATGGGCTTCAAAATAACTGTTTATTTCTTCCTCGATCCATGTTCTAATTGCTCCTTAAATATTGGACTAGATTAGCAACAACTTGTTATATCAGGTCAAGATGTCGAGACACAAGCTAAGACATCTTGTCTGGCATGTCTTCTTCATCAGACTTCTTTATGTTGGAACATCTTGCAAAACATCCTGTTTTACCAAAATTTGCTCAAATCTGCAGAGCTTTAAATCTTCCCCTTTTGAATTTTTTTGGCTAAAACTCCTTAGGTAGAAAAAGAAAGGTCCAACGTCATTCAATTTCATCCAGGGAATGGTGGTTATGATTGACACACTTCTGAAGCTCCCCCTTTCAGCTGAAATCCCTAGCTGCCTGTTGGTGTACATGAGGAAGAGGATGTAACACGCTTCCTCTCAAACCTTTACTTGCCACAGTGGGATAAATCTTCCTCTTAAGGGGCATAAGAGAACTCTTAAGAAGATCCAGAAAGAGCTTAAGAAGAAACATACATAGTATACGTAACACATAGTACATAGAGTATGTAACTCAGGTCACAAGACACAACCTGCTTCATAACTCATAACACAAAACACAAAGGAAAGACTCAGAGAAGAACATGAGACTCATACAGGATGTTAGAACATCCCACCCAACATCCTTGCAAAACAACTTCAAGAATGGACCAAAAAGGATATTAGTTGTGTATTGTAAGGAGCAACACACAGCCGAGATGAATACACATCCATTCTCCCCCTTTTTAGCCAAAAATTAGTAAAAGTAGCCAACACAGTTTCATACCCACATGGTACTTACCCAAACCCGAAAAAAAGCCATGAAGACCCAACCCAAAACAAGAACCACAACCTGAGAATCCAGAAGCAGCGACCCCTTTAAATACCCAAGCAGTTTCTCTAGGAATTTATGGTTCATAGAAGTTTCCGCTGAACATTTTAATGGTGAAATAAATTTAGGTAGGTAATGATGCGTCCGCAAGTGCACGGAAATATCGAAGTAATATAAAAGATTTGTCGAACCCACAGAGACCAATGTCAACCTACTTTTATCTATTGTCGCGGCGTAAAGCTAAGGCTAATGGAATTAGGAATGTTAAATGTGAATGAAATTAAATACAACGGAAATAAGGATTATTGGTTTAAGGAAGAGCGGTAAAAGGATATCGGTATGTATTCCTTTAGTTTTCGGGGATTCGACAGGTCGCCGGTGCTTTTTAGTCCTTGCAAACACTTTTCAGGAGAAAATACTCATTTGAAGACCTTTGCCTCACGATGGTTGTTGACTCGGGTCATAATTCTAAGGCGGAATGTACGCTCTTGCAGTCCCATTCGGGGTTTAAACTACTTTTTGAAAACAAATAAATTCTGATTTCTTTTAAAGCGTTTTCGCTGTGTTTAAAATCAATGTCTAGTTCTTACTATCTGGTTTGAACCCCAGCTTTCGTGTGCCGACTCGTGCCTTAATGAATTTCCCACTTTTATGGCAAAACTACTGTAAATAATTTCTCGCTTTCGCGACGAAGGTTTATTTAGACGATTTTGATTAAAAACTACGGTCAGAAAGGTGTTTGTAAAAGGGAAGGTGCACCGGGTATTATCGGATCCCATCCTACTAATTTGATTACATACCGATAAAACTAATTTAGCTAGACATGATAATTAATGCAAACGGAAATAAACATAAACAACAAAGTAATAAAATATGCATTATGACAGAAAATAAAGTAATAATTCAATTAATAAGAACTTAGAAAGTAGTACTAAAATTGAAGAGTAGTCATCCACAATGTCGGCAGGATTCTACTTTGGCGAAATAAAATTGCAGAAAGAAATTACAATGTTCTGAACTAAAGGAAAAAAGGAAGAAAATAAAAGAAACAAGAAAAATAGCTTCAATAGAACTTTGGCAGCCCTTCGAGACGTAGAATCCACCCCCCTTTGGTTCTGTGAATCTCTGGCCTATTTATAGGAGATATTTCATTTCTCAACTTCTAGAGATCATGCGTGAGTTATGGAGAAAGTGGGAGTAACTTCCAGTAGTGGACAGTTAGTGGAGAAAGTGCAGGAAGGAATTTAGTTGAACGTGCTCGTGGCCACTTCTGTGTTTGACGTTATTCTGATATTGGAGTCATGACGACCGTAATGGAACTGTGACGACCGTGATGGTCGTGACGACCGTGATAGGGCATGACGACCGTGATGGTCGTGAAGGGCGTCATGGAGCTGTGACGAGCGTCACACTCACAAAATCTGCTTTTTCTGTTTTTCTTCTCTATTTCTTTCTTTCTTCTATCTTTTCCTTCCATTTCTTCTTCTTTTCTTTCTTTAATCCAAATTCTCCATAATCTGCAAAACGTAGTAAATTATCCGTATAATAGAATATAAATCAAGATAAATTAATAATAGTCGCAAGTAAATTCATGTAAATCAAGTCAAATAAACGATATACTTTCGCGTTATCAGATACCCCCACACTTAAACCATTGCTTGTCCTCAAGCAATCAACCAACACGGTAAAATGAGACAAGCTTAATTTGAAACAAAGACACGGTGAGACTCTAATCATACGTGGCTGCTAGGCTAATGTTAGATCGACACGTACTAAATATCAATACCAAGGATACTATAATGACACAATTTCAAAAACTCTCTACTTATGCAAACCAACTTGAATCATGCTATTATAACTCAACCTATATCTCATGCTCTCTTTCACCCCATTTCATTCTAGTGCAATCACATTAAACCCGTTATCCCATACACATTCATGGAAAGTAAACCTGTTAGTGACTATGATCTCATTGTTATTTCATTTTTCTCTGCAAATATGCTTAAGCATCAATTGAACTTAAAGAGTTTGTACCATTGGGTTAAATGATCGGGTGAGGAGCACCTAACTTAGAAGGAACATGTCTTTTTATTCATAATAGTTTTTTTTTCTTTCTTAATTTCTCATTTTAAACTAGAGATCATACATTTATTTGCATCAGTTTCTTACTTAGTGTGTTTAGGATGGTGCTGACTGCTTAAATAAACTACTTAGGGATTACTACAAGAAACTGGAGCTTTAAGGTTTCGGCATAATGGGTACTCAAATTGATTTTGCATATTTAAGGGGTTAAGGGTGTCAGGATGATATCAATTTTATCAAAATTTTCCCAAATTTTTCTAACATAGCATGAACAGCCTATATACTCTCAGAGTACCATGTCATGAATCGAAGCAAAAATTTGTTGGAGGTTAAAATTTTGAAAATTTGAAATTATGGGGAAATTGAACAAGCAAAAACCACGCATAAAGACTCGACGGCACATGCAAAGACTTTGACATAACGTTAAAAACAGATAAAATTCCTAAAAATATGAAATAAAATATAAAACAATAAATCAAACTAAAAAGCGATAAAATGGAAGCGGTAGAGTTCCTCCCCCACACTTAAACCAAACATTGTCCTCAATGTTTTAGTAAAAGGTGGAAAAAGGAAAGATAGAACATGTATGAATGCTACTGCGTGCCAAATCCTCTACGATCCTGCTCTTGATGTCCATGTCTTCGTTGATCACTTCTACTTCGGCGGCAGGCATTTTGAGATACCTTTGATTGTGTAATTCTAGAACCAACTCATCATGTTGCTCGCTTCCAGAGGAAGTCCTCATCATCAGCGTCCCCACCAGCAGCGACACTCGTAGGAATGTCTGTGGGCATAGCTCATCTTCTCAGATCGTCATCTAGAGAGTTTTCGCCTAGATATAACTAAAGCGTAACAAGCGATGCATTTCTTTATTTTCTGCAAATTTAAACAAACAAATTAAAATAAAGACCTTGTGGGTTGCCTCCCAGACAACGCTTTGTTTAACGTCGATAGCTCGACGACTGAGGAGTGCAAGTACTCATAGTGGTTTTTTCCAGAATGGTTCCTCGATCAAACTTTGAATAGTCTTCGGTTTCCATGGCCACTTATCAAGTCATCTCTCATATCCCTCACCTTTTCTTTTCTTTCTTCTATAGGGTGGTTCATTGTTTTGAACTTGTGGTGGTGGTTCTGGATCTATCCTGAGTATCAGTTTTTCAAATTTGGGCTTAGTTATTTCATCCACCACCTCAAACGTTGGTCTTACCCTTTTAACAGTAATGATGACCCTGGTTTCATGGTCCTCGAATTTTCTTTTCTTATGAAGGGCCTTAGACAAAGGTGCATTGGTGTGGATATTTTCCAATACCTCCACATGGGAGCATATCAAATGAGAGTAATTTTAAAATGAGAGATGAGAGGAACAAACAACAACCACTAGATCATGATTAAACTTATTTATTAATGTGATTATTAATTTCTCTCTCTTATTAACTTGTATTTCACCTCTCTTACAATTATATATTATTTATCTATTATATATCAAATACTAAACTTTTTTAAGTAAACTACCTACGCAAAATTTTTAAATTATAAATTATAATTAACATTAACCACTTTTAACCTACCACATTATCTATAGCTATATGTAAAGATAATACTTTCTTTTAGTGTGACTTATTTTTCTATTATTTTTATCCTTATTTTATTATATAATTTACTTAATAATTTTTTATTATTAACTTCTACATAATTTGTTATTATTAACTTCCATATGTTGTATTTTTTTAAAAAATTATTTAAACAAAACATATCATTTATATTTTTATTTATGCGTATTAAAAAAGCAAACATGAAAAGTGTTAAGAATTAAGTGTGTAATAAAAATCTCATAATTAAAAAGTTGAAGATTAAAATGAGAGGACCATACATCTAACATCTTGAAATTTGAGATGAATATGAATGTGTCTTTTATAAAATGTATTGATACTAAAAAGAATTGGAGGTATAAAATGGTCCCACATTGACCCCAAAATTAATTACTCAACAAATTCAATATTAATTACCCTCTAAAACATTCTCACAGGTAGAGCAATAGAATCGGAAGATTTATTTGACTTAATCGCGAGTGATGGCAACTGTGGCGATTAGTGAACTTGACAAAAACGGTGGTAACGTTGTGGCAGAGATAGTGAAACTGGAGAGAAAGATCTTTCCTAAACACGAATCACTCGCTTCCTTCTTTCAAAATGAATTGAAAAAGAAGAACAGTGAATTGCTTTATCTTCACGTCGATGGCGAACTTGCAGGCTATGTCATGTATTCCCGCCCTTCCTCCTTATACGCTTCTATCACCAAACTCGCAGGTTCCAACTCCATTTTTTCATTTAAGGTTTCATATTTCAAATCTAACTGTTTTATATGCTATAACTTTATGCCTATAAGCTGTTTGAAAATTTGCCTAAATGAATTTTGCTATTTCAAATTCTATTTGAACGTTTAAAATGAGATGTTTTGGTTTCATTATAGTGAAAGAGAAATGGAGGAGGCATGGACACGGAGAGGTTTTATTGAAAGCGGCAATTGAGAAATGCAGAGCGAAAAAAGTTCCCCGTGTAATGCTTCACGTGGATCCGTTGAGAACCCCTGCACTGAATCTGTACAAGAAGCATGGTTTCCAAGTTGATTGTTTGGTTGAAAGTTACTACTCTTTGGATAGAAATGCTTATAGAATGTACTTGGACTTTGATTCAAGTTGAAGGAGAAAAGAAACTCAGCAAAAGCATTTTTTTAAATATGTTTTCAACTTTTCATGGTCAATTCAATGAACAAATTTGTAACATTGTGTTTTTATAAGAACATCAAGTGTTGGAGAGTACTTAAGTAACACTTTCTATGCGGAAGTTGTTAGTTTTGTTGTTGAATTTATTTTAGTTGTACAATTTATTAGGATATTATATCTTTAGCAGGTGTGTTAAAGACATAGCATCCATGGAAGGAAGAGAAAAAATTTTCAAACTTTATGTATTTATCTAAATAGAGTATTAAAAAAAAATGAAAAGTATCATTTTAATGAGATAATTACAAATATATATATTATTATCTATAATCTATAACATATATAAAGACAAAACTTGATTTTGGTGTAGCTTATTTTCCTACTAATTTTATCCTTATTTTAATGTATAATTTACATAATAACTTTCATTAAAATCACTACTATCATTTTATCCCTATTAATTTTCTATTTAACTTCCTACTATTAACCTTTTACATAACTTTTATTTAAAATTATATTAAATAAAAATATATCATTTATATTTAACTTCCTACTACCATTTTTCACATAACTTATCATTATTAATTTCCTATCCAACTTTCTATTATTAATTTTCTTTAAAAATTAATACTATATTAAAAAAATATCATAAAAATTAAGTGTGTGAATGCTAGTCAATAATAATAATAATAATAATAATAATAATAATAATAATAATAATAATATTTATCTCACTTTTCTTTATTCATTTCTTTTTTTTTTTTGCTTTTGCTTTTTCTATCTCACCCAAGAAAGCTTGTGTGTTGTACAGATTTTCATTAAAAAAATATTATTTTTTTTATAATATAAAAAATAATAATATTTTAGTTTGGTGATTAAAATGTATAAAAGTACGACAATATAACTATGTTTGAAATTAAATTCTATCTTATTAATAAGAGAATATTAAAAACAATGAGAATTTGTTTTAGTTTAGTTTGCATAAAATATTTTAATATATTTAAAAGTAGTTATTTTGTTGTGTTATAGTATATTTAATAAATTTAAAGTTATATTATATTTTATTATAAGAGTTCAATAATATAACAACTTGTAATAGATTTTCTAAATTGGAATAAATAATTATATTTTGTTAGAGCTTTTAAGAAAAAAACTAATCATTATTATAAAGTTATTTTAGTATTTCTATATTTATGATAGTCCTTTATATTTGAAGTATTAATTTATATAGTTTTTTATAACTTAAAAAAATTAAAGAAATAATTTAAATTTATCTTTTATATTATATTAATAGTTATTATTTATATTATCAAGCAAAATGAAAATTTCAAATTATATTTATCCAAATTTATTAATTATATTATGAATAAATTCAATGTTCTTCAGTCATGACAACAAAACAACCCATTACGGCATTGCTATTTCAAATTCAAACATGTTTTTCCTCAAATTTAGTGTAAATTTTTCTTCAAATTCTATCCTTCATTTAAATACTTATTTACAATTTAATAAGTTTTAAATCAAATGTAACATAATTCTTAAATCAATAGTAATTAGAATAAATATAAATTATATCAGTAATCGTTTAATCCACAACTTGAAATTTGACTTTTGTTAATGAGACCCAATTGTGGTTTTTATTTGTAATTAAATAATCATTGTTGACTATTTTTAAAATTCAGATAATAGAACCGGCCAATTGACCTGGTGTTTTTTTTATAGGTACTGTGAAACAAAATTTTAAAGAATGACTTAATTATCATTTAAAATGTATAAAAGATTAATATTAAAAAAATTAAATTCAAAGTCTATAAGGAATACTTATATAATAGTAACTTAGTTTGAATTTAGAATATTGGATCACACAACGTCATGAGATCTTATCAGAGTTTCTGTACCATATCTAACTCTGCCATACAAAAGTTATGTTTGATGAATTCTGCCATCTCTACATTTCAACACATGCATGCATGTTTTCATGAACTCCTCTCACAAAATAGGCATTTTGAACAAATTTAACTTCACCAAAGTCTGGCCTTATTTTTCTACCATTTACTTCCACTGATCAGCTGTACAAAACAGATTATGCAGTTGCTTCACCTTACCTCATCAACAGTTCCTGCATAAAAATAAAGTCTTACCGGTTATATTCTGCAAAACAACAGTCAACATGCACTTCTATCATCATAGGGTCTCTATGTAGCCTAAGGATTAAGAATTGCTTATTATGTGTTTCACAAGTTATATTTCAAAGAAATAAGGGTATCAAACTAATACAAATGCTCATGTTATGATGAAATAACTTCTTCCAAACACTCCTTTAGTACATGGTGTTTCATAGAATAACTTGATTCTTTCAACACATGCTTGATGCAAAAAATTGATATCCCTAGGTAGAAGTAATTGGCAGCTACTGTTTGTATTGGTCACAGTGCTAGGAGCTAGGTGACAAATATTAATATGACGGATACACTTCCTATAATATAATGCACGCAGATTACAAAATTATTTACCATTCCGGCAGTGAGCAGCTGATCTTTCTGAGCTTTCTTCTCTTGATTGCACTCCGCACACCAGCTAGCGAAGCCTCTTTTAAACTTTTGCATTTCTCGAAAAATCGAACTGCACAGAAATAATGAAACTTCATATTTAATTTAGTAAGTAATAAAAATGAAAAGAAAATAATATAAATTATGAATCCATTCAGGTAAAAAAAAAGAAAAGAGGAAAACAAAATTCAAAATCGATGCTACAAAAATGCCGTCACAATCCGAGACTTCTGCAAACAAAATTCAAAATCGATGCTACAAAAATGCCGTCACAATCCGAGACTTCTGCTATTTCCCACACAATTGGGAAAAAAAATATCAAATAAAAAAGGCAAATATAGAAAGCCATCAGGAAGAGATACTAATTCACGAGTCTTTTTTAGGAAGAACTATTTAAATGCAACGCGCACAGTTGCGCATAAGCACGGCTTATCATCCAGAGTCTGATAATCAGACAGAAGTGATCAACAGAGTTTTAGAAACTTATCTACGTTGTTTTTCAGCAGAGCAACATAAGGTTTGGAGAGATATTGTTAGAACCCCCAATATCCCTTATATACCTCCTATTCTAAACGTCTACTCAAAGGGGTGTAAATAAGAGCATTGTAGGGAATGGAGGGATTCGTTCATTGTATTCATCTGTAAAAATAAAGGGGAATTTCCTCTGTAAAAATAATAACAGAAAACTGTTGTTATTCACTCTATCTGGTTTCTATCTTTTTTCCGGTTCTTGAATAACTCTAGCACCATCGTCTTTACTATGCATGATAGTATATAATGATAAGGTGTATTAGACTAATATAGGAAGTTGTAATCGCAAACAAAATATGAAAGCACCTTCTGCACCACAGAAGTAGGTTGACCCGATGACCAGCAACTGTGGCTCTAGCACCATGGCGATGACGACCATGATGAAGCACAGCACAACCAGGGACATGCGAGTAATCAAAGATCTCCTGTTTTCAAATAAAAGACTCCATAAAAAAAAGGCACACAGAATCATACCAAAGAAAAATTGAAAGAAGCGATGATCTCTAGGCAATACTAGTTGTAAAAGTCTGTGAGGAATTGGGAATAAATATTTGAATCAGTTTAAATTAGATTATTGGAACTAGTTTACATTAGATTAAGGTCTGAATGCAATCAGATCTGATCTATTTTCAGTTTTATCTGTTGTACTTGTATCTATGTTTTCCAAAGTGTTAACCGATATGTTAGTATTGGTCAAAACTCTACTAACCTTATAACCGGATTACCAGCGCTGGTTTCTAGGGAACCAAGAGATTAATTCAAAAAAGAAATACATTGTATAAACTATATAAAAAGTTTCAGAATAAACATTGTTATACTTCTTCATCTATATGTTTGTTTAAAATCATACAAATGTAAATAAAAAGTATATTTCTCTCGTGTGCATATGCTCAAATACTCCAAGTCATTTGAAAAGAATGAAAGTCAGTAAGGACGCTTGAGCCAGCAGCATCAAAACAGATGACTATGATAGCCTTCTCATGCATGTTGATACTAAAGGATCAGATAATCTAGTTTGAGATTAGAGCAATGCATACTTAACATGAAAATTTTAAAAGAAATCCTAATGCAAGTTTGCTTTTATGTTGTTCCATCTCTCTATTTCGTAACTCTTACCTCTGAATGACCCATTGTATTTAAATGTTCATCACATCGCATTCCCCGAAAATACAACTCTCCTCCAGAAAATTGCCTACCCAGGCAAACGTTTAAGGTAACTTCAGAGTCATCCACATGGAATTCTACAAATGTAATATTATCAGTTAGACATGAAATAGGTTGAAATTAGAGCAGATGTATAAAATAAAGTAAAACATATTGGTATCCCAAAAGCTGTTCAGCAGGAATTTATATTGTTGTTGTAAGGTTCGCTTATAAGGATGCTAGCCTTCACTAGAATAAATGGCCAACATTATGCACATGAGCTGTAGAATAGAGATAAAATTCCATTTTCCTTAAAAGATAACAAAGCGATATAAAATATGAGAAACACAATGATGATAAACCAGACAGTGTGATGCATGCCATATTCTAAGACATGGCTGGAATATGCATTCACTTTTAGATAGATATATCCGATAAAGAAATTATAATCAAGCATAACTCTTACCCATATCAACATCTCTATGTGAACCATATTCAACAATAAAACCGTGGTGAGAATCCAGGGTTGATCCACCAACTTCTGCATAGAACACTGTGTAACAAGAATCAATTGACTGAAATACATTTTAAGAGAATGAATAACTTATACAGTGGCCAGTCTCTTAAAGTGTATAAATACATAAAAATAATTGGTCAAATAACCATGAGCAAGAGTAATCAAGCAGACTTCACTCACCTTTTGACAATGGAGAAATAAAATCTTCTATAAGCTTCTTGAGCATGGTTTGAAGGCCAAAGTCATCAAGTACAGCACCATATTGATTCATTGTATTGGGACGCATTACCTGGAGTTTTGTTCTTTCAGCCCACTTCTCAAAATGTTCAGCCTAGAGAGGCCAAAAAAATAAATTAAACAGAGAAAAAATATACGTATCTGTTTAATACATAATACACCACACCCTTGCAGGTTATAAGCTAATACTCAGAAAGAATAAAATATTGCTTAGACCTCGATAATTAAAATGATAAATACCTCAGTTATCAGTAACTCGCAAAAACGTGGTTGAAGCATTTCAAATGTAAAAATGCCTGGGGCAGGTTCAGACATTATACTTCTAAAGCTTTGTTCCGTATTATCTTTGATTGCTTTTAGAAATGCAGGTACAAAGAATGCTACGGGATCAATAGTGTACAACTCTTGATGCAGAGGCTACAAAATTGGATAGAAAACATGTAAGTCTTATTAAAAATGAGTGGGAAATGTAAGGAAGATTGTCATTATAAGTCTTAACATAAATCATAGAGCCTGCTGATTTGAATGGAATAACAGTTCTTTTATAGCAACTTCATAGATGCTGCAATATTAACAAGCTAAAAAAGAACCAAGCCCCCAAGAAAAATGCATAATTTGAGCTCATAAATATTTAGCACTGATAGTGTGCAAGGAAACAAAATTCAATTGAATGTGCAATGTATATTGTTAACAGTACATATGGTAAGAATGGAGCATTAATGTTCCATATTCCATTCCCTTTCTTTGACTATCAACTATCGCCGCTTAATATAATTTGCAAGACTGTAAAAGTTTGCGAGTGACTATAATGTGGTAATTCACACAACCAAACCAGTCGAAATAGTTTGCAACGGCAGTAATTCACACCTTATCCCTTCTATTAGGCTCAGGACCATTCCCGATAAAGACATGTAACTTTACATTAAGGTTAGCACAAATAATAGGAGATGGAGATTTGTGGTTTGATTAGCTCGGTGTTTAAATTTTATATGTATTTCATATTATTAGGACAAACTAAATGTTTGTCAAAATTGGGAAGTGGCTTGATATTTCTTAAATCTAATAGATTTACAAAATTGCTTGGGTGACATTACTTCCCTGAAACTCTACTTCAGATCGAGACTGGTCCAAAATTCAATCAAACAAGGTTTGAAAAAAGTTATTAATAAATATTGCATGAAATTCTATCGTTATAGTTCAACATACACACATCTTACCATTTAGACATTTGTATGTGTATTTTGAGAAATAATATCACGACATATCTAAATGGTGAGACCTGATTGAACGTTTTTGTAAAACTATTTTATACTAATAGTGTATACAAATTAAATTCTATTAACAATAATAATCAATGATAAAACAAAATAACAGTAATGAATATATAATATCTATTAAAATGGAGAGTTGCAGCCCAGACTTGCCACTCCCTGGGTTTGTCCCTGCTTTAAGGTCCCACATTTCACACTAAATAGGCCATGAATTAACATACCTGATAATTTGACATTATCTTCTCTCTATATTCTTTTTGCTTTTGATCCTGCCATAATCACATTGAAACCACCACAAAATTATGGTAAAATAAATACTAATAAAACAATAAATATTATAAGCTGATAAACATAAAATGGTTATGACAACAAAGTGAGTTTTTTTATTTACAATATTTAAACAGGAATGAAAATTTTCTCAAAGGCAGTTCCACCTTCCAGTTCATAGCAATGAACCATAAGTCACAATAGAACTAAATGCTACATTATTATTATTATTACATCAACTTACGATAGAACTAAATGCTAGATTATTATTGCATCCCATTCTCACCAAAAGTTATGATAGCAGACGATAGAACTAAATTCTAGAATGTTATTATTATTAACGCATCCCATTTTCAGTGAGTTTCTCTTCCTCCAAATCACATCAACTTCACAATCTTAATAAGTTTTTTCGGTCTCACAGCATTCAAAATACCATTTTCAGTGAGTTTCTCTTCCTCCAGATCACATCAACTTCACAATTTTTATAAGTTTTCTCGGTCTCACAGCATTCAAAATACCTAACGATACACTCAGATCTAGGTAGTATTTGAAACTACCTACCCCTGTACAGCCCTTTAACAAGACAGAGACCATCAATTGCCACCGTGTTATATACACCACATACTGAAATTAATGTTCAGGGCAGTGTAGTCAAGATTGAGTGTTGGATCGTAAGGTCTTCGTGCTAAGGATGCCTGAGAGTGCTATGATTAGAGAAATACCATTTTCCTCACCGGCGTGGTCAAGATGGAGCTTTCTAAAGCAAGATCGTAAAAAAGAACGTGTTGGGCGTTTTCTAGGCCTGTCTAAACAGGTTGGGTTTTTTAAGTGAAAAAACCCGGTTCTTATTCTTCCAACCCTGTGAAGCCCCTCCTAACCCTAAAACACAAAGCTGCCTCGCCTCTTTCACGATAACTTCCTCTGCAACTTTTAAGCTTTATCTTCCCCATTCCAGCTTTCCCCTCTTGCACTTCTGTTATGGTCGCCATCAACCTTCCCCATGGCAACGACAATGGCAGCTTCTTTTTCTACCATCGGTGTCCGCGTTCCTCTTCTCCCCTCTGTTGACGTTTTTCTTAGCATCATCTTCTCCCCTCAGTTAAAGTTTTGCTTAACACCATTTTCTCCCCTTTGTAATGGCCTCAAATAGAGGGTCGCAGACTATTTCATCAACACCTGAAAGTGAGGCTTCTGCTCCTGTTTAATCAATTACCTATTTGCCCTTCGGTAGAATCTTACATAAACGATATGTGCTTTACCATCTTTCACAACCCGGCCGATCCTACTTGAGATCTCGTGCATGACTACATTGGCTCAGGGGAATGAAAAAATTATCAACTATATATGACACATCTTGTAATGCCAATGAACAATGGCTTGATTACTTAATCTTTGAAACTTGCTAACTACAATTAGTCAATTACTCTTAGTTAGCATATGAGTCATTAATATATCTCACAACAAGCTTCGAGAGACCAACAAATGACTGAACAAAAGACTATATGGATTACTTTTAAAGAAAATTACAGATAATAATAACAATATAAGCTACAATTCATTTCCAAAACATCACTCTTTCATTAATGTAATTTAGCAACTTTAAGACGTGTTTAAAAATCAAGATGCAGTGAATTTCAGATCCCTTCAATAAGCAGGTTCTTGCATTCACGCAGATAACCACAATCCACGTTGATTGCTCAAAAATTGATATCTGAACTCAGCACCGTATTTTTGAAAATGTTGCTCAATATACAAGGAATACATTTTCAGCAAACAAACAAAAAGAGTTTCCATCAATATATAATAATGAAAGAGAAATGGAGAAATCGAAGCATACCCTATAGCGCAATGCTGGAGGTACATAATCTTGCAAAATACCGCGCATGTATGAAGCTTTGTTTTTGCGAGACGCGCCGAGCAAGTATCTCGGAAGGTGCATCTCCAACGAGCTGAGAAGCATAGAAGAAAAATCCAAGTTCATGTCCTCGTATGTTTCAGGCTTGTGATTCTTGATCGGATTCAGCACCAACCTCGACATTCCCTTGCCCCTGCTAGAGCTCCCAGCCTCAGAGCTATTTTTGCCGCATTGACTAGTGCTCCCCGTTGCCGGAGAAGCTTCTGGTTGGCGGCCAGTGGAGCCGCCGTGAGGTGAAATGCTTTGACTGGTCCTGCATTTGGAAAATTAGGGTTTTGAAAATGTCCAAATGGGAATTAGGGTTTATGAGAAATTAGGGTTTTTCAAAGGAGTTTTAACTATTTTGTTGTTATAATTAGGTTTGAATTTTTATTATAAATTATAAATTCATGAATAAAAATAACAAATAAAATTGATGATGATATATAAAAACAGCACCTTTGTAAGTGGTCTCCACTAGATTTGGAGTTTGATTGTTTAGATTTCTTTCCACCATGTTTATGCATTTTGAATCAAGATTATTGATGGGAAAAATCTTTTTTCTCTAATGCTAAGAGATTTCTGAAAAATAAATAAATTCTAGTCATTAGCAACTATATAAGTAAAATTGAAGTGATTTTCTTCGCTTCGATAACGAGTTTTAATTTGAGAACGACTTCTGATAGTATATTTTGTTTCAGTGATGAATTTCAAAATGTTACTTTTGATTTGCGTGTGAAAAAGTTGAGACTTCATACCTATTTTTTTAAAAAGTCTTGCTATCGTATTAGGATTAGTGTCGATATAAATTTCTGTTTTTCTATTTTGTGTTGTATAATTAAAAATTCAAATACTTTTAAATTTAATAATTAAAATTAAATATTTATATTTGTTCATATTTCGCGTCATTAAAAAATCTTAACTTGTCTTATATTCAACAACCGACGAAACTTTATGTTGTCTTACATACGGCATTGAAATTGTCATTCTAGTATAAATCAAAGGTTGGAGGACAGTGCACCCTTTATCCGAGGAAGACAATGTGAGAGCGATTAAAGAAGAAGTCGACTTCCTCAGAGAAAAAAGGGAATTATTGTTTTTTAAGCGTCGTCGCAAAACAAGCTACCATTGCACAGTACAACAAGCATGTCTGAGCTTGAGAATTTCAAGTCAGAGACCTCGTTTTAAGGCGGACCGACGTATGAGGGAAGAATGTCAGGGATGAGAAGCTAGCAGCTAACTAAGAAGGGTCATAAATAGTCCAAGCCAGCACCAGAAAAGGAGCATACACCTTAGAAACTCTGACGAAAGAACCAATTTTAAGAACCTATAACGCCACTAAGCTCAAATATTACTTTAGTTTATTTCTTCATGTATAACACAAAGGGTAAATGATTTAATTACCGCTTATTTAATAAATTTGACATATATGTACGATAGTACATCATTCAACACTTTCTTAAATAAGAAATGAAGTTTCTTGGGTGAAGAATGAAACAGATAGAACAAAGAGAGAAAGAAGAAAAGATAAAGAAGAAAGATGGAAGAAGGATTTGGACAAACTATTTTCTATTCACTTTCTCAATGTTACAAACAATGACAAGTGAATAACACAATTTGCCTCACTCAACAACCTGAGTGATCTAGTGTATTTATAGACTACAAGGTAACTTAAATAACAAGTTAACCTAAACAATTTAATCCTTAACACGAGGTCCAATTCGACACTACATACTAGAACTGACTTCGACTACAATATGTAAACACTTCGACATCAACATGTGAGCAATCTTCGACTTCATGCTTGCCTCTTGTCGAATCCTGAAAGTTATCTCAGTCGACACGTCCCAGTCGACAGCACTGGAGTTCAATCTAATATCTCACATTGCATTTAATTCCATTTCTAATAAAACATGGGATAAGAGAGCAAGGTACATCATAATCATATTGCATTTGACACCCCCCCCCCTTTTTAGAGCTAGCCACTCCAAGAGCACGGGCAGTGGAGCCTAGAAGATGCCAACCTCAAACTAAGCTTAAATATGGGAGTACAGAAGGAGATCCAATTCTTAGTCGGAAACGGTTCTTGTGGCGCTGAAGAAAATACGCCAGTTCCTAACAAATGTGATGGGTAATAACAAAACAAAAAGAAATCATGGCAGTTACCAAAAATGGAACTCAATATGACAAAACGAATAAATTACGTCAGTTTTCAATGAATGAGATGGGTAATGACGAAATGGGCACTAAAATTAGCAAAGCAATCATAATTGGTAAGCAAGCAAACACATAATCTCTAGAAAAGTCAAACTATGATGTATAAATTGACAATATTGTGAAGGCATAAAACTACAAAAAGATATTCTCATGACAACCAAAGTCATTCTTGCTTCACCAACACTTTATTAACCATAATGTTTGCTGAGTTGATTGGGTCACAAGGAACCCGAACGTCGTGCAAAACACTTCAATCTTGTCCACAACATTCATGGAGAAGGTCTTTATTACGCCTTTTGTCGTACCCCAAATTTTGTCCACCCTTCATATGCTTTCTAGTGCCACTTTATTTCGAATGAGTGAAATGACACAATTAGTATGAGAACATGCGTAAGGAGTTGTGAGTGTGAAAATGATTTGATTTTTAAATTGACACAATTTAATTCTTTTCCTATTTTGTTAACCTAGTTATTGGTATAAATAAGGTAATTTTCCACACTAATTTTGACACACCAACTAGAGGAAAATTACACATATATAAATTACAAGAGTTTTTTTTTTTAAAAACAATTTACAAAAATCCCAAATCTTTTACAAGAGTCTCAATTTTTTATTAAATAGTCTATTTTATTTTAATTTGTGTGTTTTTGAGCCGATGATAAGTATCTTATGGTTCCCGTATTTTTAACACTTCAACACCAATAAATTTTCGTGTGTTCTTTCTTCTCTTGTTACTTGTGTATTTTTATTTACTAATTTTTTCTAACAATTTTAAATCACCAATGCTCACCAAAAACTTTCAAATACTATTGTTGTAAGTCATGAATATAAAATATATTTTGCAATTTTACTTTTAAGACATTATTGTGAATTGATTTAGAAGATGTCTTAATACAAATAGAGACCCAAATTAGACACCGATTAGAGAGAATTTTACACAACATTTTGCAAAGAGCCCACCAAGTCCCAAATTTTTTAGAGTTCCATTCTCTTTTTTTAAAATAAGTTCTTCGGTTTGTTTTTACTTTAACTTATTTTTCCAAACCCCGTGATGATCAGAACCCAATGGATTTTTTGTATCAAAATTCACAAGTAGTTATTATTATTATTATTTATTTTTTTAATCAAGAAAGAATATATTAATTCAAAAACAAGTTAAATACAAAAACGGTGATCCACTAGGGATCCAACCCACCAAAGGACTCAAATTACATCATAAAACTAACAAGTTGTTTTTTAATCCTATTGTTTTGTCATCCTCTATAAATCATATTATCTGTGATTTTTGTAACCATGTTTGTGTTCTCTACAATTTTTTCAAAAGTAATACTATTTCTATATTTCCAAATGTTGTAGACGGTTTCAGCTACTAGCATCTTCATAACATCAGCTTTCCATCATCCTTTCCCCTTTGTTAGACCAGTGATCCAAATCAGTTCTGCATCCCATTGTTGGGGTTCATGCTGAATGTTAAACCGCTTGAGTATTTCCATCCATATGTGTTTTGTCCTTGTACAGTGGAAAAATAGGTGGTTCATCGTTTCTTCCTCAGATTTGCACAAACTGCATATGTCGTCTTCAATCATTCCAAAATGTTTTAACCTTTCTTTGGTTACAAGCTTGCCATAAACATTGGACTGCTCGCGGTTGTCCTTTATTGAATCTGATCAGTTTCCTCCAAGGAACCCTTGTGCCATTATCAATTAGTATCTTATAGAATACTGCAACTTTAATTTTGTGTGGTCATAGCTTATTTCCATTCATTCCAAATCATATTCATGTAATCTCTTTGTCTCAAAATACCCCACATGATCCACGAATTATGTGTTTTGGTTATATACGTCATCACATCATCGCCTTTTAAATAATGAGCATGGATCCACTTGACCCATAGTGTGTCGCTTTTGTTGCAAAGGTTCCACAGACATTTCAAGAGCAACACATTGTTCCAGGTCTGAAGGTTTAATATGTTCATCCCACCCTGCGCAGTAGGGCAGCAAGCAGTTTTCCAGGCCACCGAGCATTTTCTGCTCACAGTATATTTTCCTGTCCAAATGAAACTTCGACAAATTGCATCTACCTTCTTGATCACGCATTTAGGTAAGGGGAGGCACTGCATCCAGTACTGTGTCATTGCATAAGCTATGCTTTGTACTAGTTGCATTCTTCCTGCATAGCTTAGGAGTCTAGAGGACCAATGATGTATTCTAGCCACTATTTTATCCACCAAGGGCATAAAATGATTGATGGTTAGTCTTTTGCTCAATAGAGGGATTCCTAAGTATTTGAAAGGTAATGTCCCTTCTTGGAATCCTGACAGTTCCTTCAAGGTTTTTTTGGTTTCCATATCTAAACCCCCGAAATATATTTTGCATTTGTTAGGGTTCATCATCAGTCTTGTGGAGTTGGAGAAATTTCTGAAAGTTTCTAGAATCATTTTCATTGAGATTTTGTCTCCCCTACATAGTAGTAGTATATCATCTGCAAAAGTGAGATGATATTGGAGATTGTTGTAATCCTTAATCTCACAAGCCTTATTGCTTTTTGGAATCAGGGAAACAACAACACTGTTGAAAGGTTTGTACATTTTACCTGTCTCAAAATACTCCTTAGCCGCTGCAATCACATCATTCTTAATGGTTGTCCAGCTGGCCTTGAAGAATTTGGCTCCATATCCATCCAGGCCTGGTGCTTTGAGGTCTCCAATTCCTCTAAGGGCTTTGGTGATATCATCCTCAGTGATATTTTTGATGAGGTATTCCCTCTGCTCCATGTTAACTTGTTTACCCATCCTCATGGCCTCAATGTCAATGTGACTAATATTGTTATCCTTTTTGCCCATCAAGTTTCTATAGAATATCAGCACTTCCTCTTCAATATGGCTATTATTATTATATGCAACTAATTTCTTCAAGTTTATAAGTTATTATTATTATTATTATTATTATTATTGTTATTGTTATTATTATTATTATTATTATTATTATTATTATGCAACTAATTTTTTCAAGTTTAAAAGTTATTATTATTATTGTTATAATTTATATATTATGCAACTAATTTCTTCAAGTTTACAAGTTATTATTATTATTATTATTATTATTATTATTATTATTATTATTATTATTATTAGTATTATTATTATTATTATTATTATTGCAACTAATTCATATAGTATAACAACTAAATCTCAAGACTTCTACAGACATTTATTCTATCAAGAACAAAAGGAAAAGATTGATTCAAAGATAAAAGAAAAAGAAAGGAATTGAAGGATAAGAATCAATCGCGTAAAAATAGAGAGTTCGAA